GAACCACAAAGGAAAAAACCGTTGAACTGATTTTCTCATTATTTGCTTAAGAACTGTTAAGAACATGATTGTTTTGCTGGTGCTAATTTTAATACACATACACTTGAATGGAATTTGTGTGAATGCCTGTGACTAAAAGGCGTACAATTTGATGTAACGGCACGATCAACGTGTTCAAATGTGGCATATTTTAGGGTTTATTGGCTCAAAATGGGATCATAGGTCCAATGATGACGAAGTAATGCCAAAAAATCTAGACTCAACAAGACATTTGTGTGTTATGCAGTAGATATTTACATTAGTAATTTTTTGCACAGACTGTTAGTCTATTTAACTATGTTCATAATATTTGTAGTTTATTCATGTTCTACTCGAAACGACAGGTTGGATAAGATGTAAGAGCGCGGCATTTTCCTTTATAGTTATTGTTTTGTGTTTTGTCAGTATATGGATGAAAATAAAAGTTAAATAAATGTATGAACAGGATTTATTTAAATATGTATATCCTCGATGCTAAGAAGCCAACCAGATTTATTCCAATGCAAGTAAAAGTGAAATCGCATTAATACTAATAATAAATAAACTCTAAGAATAGTATAGTATAAAATAGTACTGTACAAACTGTACAGTGAATTTGTTTGAGATGTTGTAAGTAAACCTGGAATTCGGCTGTGAAATGCAAAAGATTGAGCTAAAAACCGGATTTCATGTACAAAAAACTTCTCGGTGGCAAATGAACGGGTGGGAACTAAAATGGGGAAAGCGTGTTTCTAGTTTGCAAAAAACATTTAGAAATTAAGTACATTTTGGTACTTTTTAACGTTCTAAGTTTCAACATTTACCGTGAAATTTTCTATTGAAAAATTCATTTTCTTTTTTACATTTTAGATTGAAAATATATATTGTAAAACAAAATCCGAAACTTTGATTTTGATGGCAAAACTAAACGTGAATATCCAAATTTACAAGCGAAATAAAATATTAGATCAAAGTCAAAATGTTCCATTTCAATTCAGTGTCTATCGTGCAAAATTTTAAAATTGATCTCGATTTTTTTATTTTAAATCTGAAATATTCTATGGAAACACGCAACATCGAAATTTAGAGCTTCAAGACGGAGGTTTATTGGAATTAAAATAATATTTTCGTTGGTTTTGAATTCCAAAATTTGACCTTAAATTGGAAATAGACACTTTAATCTCGACATCTCCAAGCAAATTCCTCAATCGATGCAGTGAATGTTTGAGTTCAACCGAGGAAACTTTCTTTGGAAGTTGATATGTAGATAGTGAACTTAGATTTTCGAAATTGCTACACACACAAAAACACGATCTTGGGGACTTTCTGATTTCAACAAGCTCGTTTGGATTCAGAAATAATCCTCCTAATGGTATGTTTTATTTGTTTCTTACGGTGTTTACGTTTTAGCTTAGTTATTCTTGTTGTCTTCTTGGCTAATGTTGTAGTTTAGAATTGTGAATTTTCTAATTGTTTCCGTATCTAATAATTATTAGCTTTAGTTGTTAATCTACTGCATAACATATAGTTGGGTTGTACATGCTTTGAATCACTTAATCTTTGAAGTTATTTTAGATTTGAGTGTTTTAAAACTATTTGTTCCATAATAATAACTAAATATTGTTCTAGCTCGAAGTAACGAAGGTAAAGTGGAACCCGAGGAGAATATACTAAAAGAGTCGAAACTCGAGGAAACAAGGTCTGTTCAGCAAGATTTGCCAGTGGAATCATCGGAACTGTATGAAAAGAGGCTTAGTCTGGATTTCTACAGTTATTACAGCGGAACTAATTTCTATAAGTTTGCAGACTTTCGGAATGTGTACTTGAATGGCTCAATGGAGGAGTTGGAAAACTGGAATGGTAACATAACATAAATATAGCATTTACGTTAATAAGCAATTCTTTACAGCATTAAGAAACAATAAGCGTTTGCTGCAAGAGAAATGATAATGGTACTGCGCAGAGCAAAGGAGGTAAACAAAATGAATGTCAATTATAATAGTTGCAAATATCAGTGGCTTATTAGAGATTAGTAGTATGTGTGACCATGGTTGTTTTCCGGTTCTATTTTACGCTCTTCCAACTAAGCAAAGCTAGTTTATTAGCAACAAACTGAAAATTTAGTTAAAGTCGACTATAGCGTTTTTCGGACAGTATTTTTCAAAACCTGCATTTAAAAAATTCCTCTTAAAATCGCCCACCAAGTAAATTTGCCGGTGTATTAATGAATCACTCTATATATTTAGTAAAAGTGTTTCGAACTATGTTCTTGAGAATTTGTATTTTTTTTTAATTGTATATTTAAAGTTGAAACCGATCTGTAATAAGAATTGGCTTGGTTCAATTCTGAATATGGTATGTTTAGTTTATCTTTAATCTTGTTGTGTTTGAAGTTCAATTAAAACGAATATTTATTCGTTGAATTTATTTTATTTAATTTCCAGCAGTTTGTGTCAATTTTCATTTAACTGACTGGTATTTAAAAATGGTTCTTGTTCGTCCCATCCATCAGTTTCACTGGGTTTTGTGGAATGTTGTGCAGGATGCTCTGGTGGTAAAGAAGCATCAGTTGAAGAATTTTTCTCTAAATGTGTCCAGTAGATGTCCAAGTCATTTGGCTTGATATACCGAAAAGCTGGATCCCCTTGAAACGGTTCAACCGGCTGCAGCTCTTTTTCGATCATTTCTTCGATAAGCTTCTCTTCTTTCAAAGCCTGAAAAAATATACGCAAAAATTACTCAGTTATTATAGTCCTGCTTGCAGTAACTTGCTCCTTCTTTGAGGTATATCAGCATTTGGCGATCTTTTCGCTCGAAAAATCCAGCCTGTGAGCGAATAAGTGTTGATTAGTTTCAAATCGATTTTTGCGCTTTTGTTCTTACTTTTGCTAGCCCTGTAGTAACACAAATTAAAATAACTAAAGCTGCTATGGCTGATCCGATCCAAAGCCATAAGGGGATTGCCAGTTCCGCATATACCAGCACAAAGTTCGATATTTCAACAAAGTCCGACCTAACAGATTCATTGCAATTTCCAAGTGTGTTTTGGTAAGTTTGCTTACCTGTTCCCGGCCTGTGTGAAATCAGGGACTGAAACGAAGGCTTGGCCCACGAAATTGATCTGTTCCACAGGTTTCCCGTTAACAAACCAATCTGCTAATTTTAATCTAATTTAATTATTGTTTCTGTTGAAAATGTACAAACTTGCCTTTGGCAATATTGGCTTCCACTCCTTGAAAGTCTATCTCAATGTCTACCGAAAATTCAGCGTAGTTTTGCCAGCTTTCGAAAGGTCCAACTGTACAGTTTAAGAATGCACACCTAACATTTTCCTGTGAACAGTTCAGTTTTAACACACCGAAGCCGTTTAGTTCCACTGTCTCATTCAGTGTTTGCTCATCTGGAAAAAGTCTGGCTGATTATGCAAATTTTCTAAAAAAATCCAAACATTTTTTGTTGAAACAAGGTTGTTTTACTAAGCCAGGGCCACTTGGTCGTGTGTTTAAAACAGTTTAAAAAAGTAAAATTGGTGAAAACATCGAGAATAATTTCTGCAAATATGTTCATTAGCCTTCATCATCTTGAAGCTAAAGATTTCCTCTTAGATGAAATGCTATACCTACCTGGAATAAATTGCGTATTTTCTGCACATTTAACTACAACACTGTCTAACGAAGCATCATTATGAGCAGTAACTTTCGATATTTCTTTAGTAGTGCCATCGATTGAAATTAGTGCGGAAGGAATTAAGATTCCCACCTGCACTGTAGGTGTGGGACTGGGTCCAAATTTTTCTATCTGCAAATTAGGTTTTAAGGTATTTTAGAGCGTTCTCCTGGCTGAAGTCACGTTTCTTATCTCAACATTCTTACAGGTAGATATAGACTTTATTGGTGCATTGTAACTTGAATGGAAGTTTATTGTTTAATTATTTATTTAATTTAAACTTTTATATGCATGATAGAAATATATGTTAATTAGAGTTAATTACCTACCTTAAAAATGTCCTGTATGAAAGTTCGCTTCCCTTTTTCATAAAAGTAACTCGACTCTTTGGGATAACTGAAATAGACTTCGGGTTGATTAAAGTGGCTTATAAGTGAAAATAGTGAAAGTTTCATTTCTAATGAAAATACCACAATAATTTTATTTTTCGACCTTATCGAGCAAAAAAAAATACAAATACAAAATATGCTTACCCTGTAATAAGCAAATCAAATTCTCGCTTCAGCTTCAACGTTAGATTTGTTGCACTTTTCACATCTAGATTGTCTGTAATAGTGGAAGTGTTGAAGAAAAACTCAATGTCGTCAATTCCATCCACATCAACATTCAATTTTAAACCGAATGCCACCTAAATAATAAAATTAAAAAAATGTAATAATGATATTCAATTTTCAATTCCAAATGGAAGATAATTGTTTTATATTGTTTGCGTATGTTTTAGTTTATAGCCGATTCTATCAAAGAAAATTCTGACTGAGAAAAATATAAAGACACTTGAAACTCATTTTCCATGCCTGTTTTTACCATGCTGGAATCGTCTCAAAAACGTTAGATATTAACAATCCTGGAATTTGTTTTTGCGTTTATTCGCTTACTTCGTCATTCACTACTTCGCCTCCATCACATTGAATACAATTTCCATCAATATTTTGGCAATCTACAGAACCTGATCTAAAGGTAACACCATTTGGAAGATTCACTTGTAAAAGTGGAAAGTACGCTGGGTCCCCTTTATTGGCGATTGTAATTTCCAAGCATAACAGATCTTTGGAGCCCATTACGAACGTATCTGGTTTACTGGAAAAATTAATTTAAAATCGGAAATTAATTGAATAGAACGAAAAAGCCTGAACTTTATGGAATAGTTTACATCCCCGCTAAAAATTATTATTTTGAATCCAAGGTCAAAAATGCTAATCCAGTTAGAAATGAAATCAAAACGATTTTTTTTGTTAAATTAAGTAGTAGTTATCGATACAATGCCAAGACCGGATTCTTTAAAGTATGGTTTCATGTTCGAAAGCAGACAAAAAATTGCTTAACAAAAAAGTTAACGCTGGAAAAAAAATAAACAACTGCATTGAAAGAAAGAAAAATATAAAGTTTTATAGAAATTTTATAGAAAAATATAAAGTATAAAGTGTTTTTTTTTCGAATTTGAGTTAATTCTGATTGTCCGTAGATAAAACTACAAGTAGGTAACTAGCAAAAACTTAGGTGTTTGCAGGCAATATCCAGCCTTAACTGAATTCCGAGTTTTAACTTAAGATATCCGGAAAATATTAATCCCTGTCCCAACTTGCCTGAGATTGAGAAACTTGGCAGTCACTTCCAGTTGAGCCTGGCACGGTTTCTTCTCGCCATTGTGTTCGCATTTATGCTCCCAGCTCACCAACGTGAATATACGATTTTTTGAACTTTTACTAAGCAACGGACAATTTTTGCAAAATGTATCAATGGAAGGCTGCTTAAGGCTATTTATCACTATTGGATTCTGGTCGTCTACTGAGGATGGCTCCAATATTTCATATGTTAAGTAAATGCTAATGGAATCATTGTAGTTGTGAGCACGAACCTGCTTGAAAAATAATTTCAGTTTTAAGTCACAGACTGCAAAGCCCAAAATATTCAGTGGTATTATGAAAAACAGACATTTTCGTTCAAGGAATGTTTTAAAATCAACTCATAGGAACCCGGGAACTTGTGAGAGTTTGAATGCTTATACTCTGACTCAAAGGCTTAAAGTTTGAGKTCAAAAAARAATATGTTTGCTGTATTTGACTAGATGATTAATTCACCGATTGAATGTTTGGAGGAAATTAGTCGGCTGGAGAACCAAATGATAGTGCGACCAAAYATTTGTGAAAACTAAGAGTCAAATATGCAGATAAATTGGCTGTAAAGTCGACTTTGCTGTTAACTAGCAAACTGAACTAAATGGTCGCAAAAGATACTTTTTGTCTCAGTTTTACGTCAAAGTGATATCTACATTAGAAAAAAACGGAAATCTATATTACTTGGAGCGCTGATGAGGATAAATGAATTTGTATTTTTTTAATTAGTGATTTGAATAATTCAACTATAATTTGCTTCTTAGTAAAAAAGTATCATTGCTTCTCTCGAGTAAAACTAATTCGCAATTTTTTGTCGCGCTTCTCCAATGAAAAAATATGTCTTAATTTTTAGCATTAGTTTATTGGCACTTAAAGAGATACATTACCTTAATGAGTTCTATATCTTCACAGTGTTCCCTGTCTTTTGTGAGATACACTTTCCTTTCTTCGGAAATCTGACGGCGAGAATGGTGAGCGAATGAGAATCGATTAAATTCGCGGTCAACAGTAATGTTTTGTAACAAAGCTGAAAATCACACAAGATTCAATAATTATAATACTTAGTTATCTTCATATTAAGTACGCGTATTATGACGTGTTTTCGGTTGATTGATTGATACGAAAAAAATACTCATTGGTCGCAAAAAATTGCGTTTTTCAGCACTTTTGTTAAATATGTGTTGGTTGAAAACTTTGATTTCAACGTAACTTCAGTTTACTATTTTATACTTACTGAGGTTCGAATTTGAGAAATTCGTGAACTGATAGCAACACTGAAAAGTGAAATTCGTTGTGGATTTTTGAATACTGGACGGGACTCGTATGCTGGCGAAAATCGTTACTGTGGGTTTGGACCGCAAAATCACTACGTGTCCGGATAAAGGCGATCCAATGGCAAAATCTGCAATGCATACACAACTTAAATCAAATTTGAAACATACACCCTTTATATAATGAACAGGTTTCCGATTTACAGAGTGTTAATATGAATGTTAAAACGAAGATTTCAAGCGGTTTTTTCAACTTTAACGCTTCCATATTCTTAAAGCAATTTAAACTTGTATGAACAAACCTGGAAATTGATTATCGTCGATATCAATAGGTCGCGACAGACTAGTTCCAAATCCTCTCAACTCGGGCTGTATGTCTTTTCCATAAATTTTCTGGGATATTCCCAAAGTTTTCCTGATATTATCAAAAGTGTAAATGTAGACAACACCCGAAGTTTCCTCGTTGGGTGCCGATATAGCAACTTCTGCAACAGAAACGTTTAACAAAATAACATTTACATTCGTTGATAAACACCAAGAAATTATGGAAAGAAGCTTTCGCTTACCAGCAAACCGATAATTATCCAAATTGCCCAACACCATCATCGCCAAACCAAACTGGCCACCGGACACAGTTCCATCCAGCCTGTTCTTCGAATGGTAGCCCATTTTCCTCTGAAAAAAACCACATATTTTCTTGGAAAAAAAATACATGTATGTATAAAAAAAAGGATGATATAAAAATGGAAAATGTTAAAATAATTAACGTAATTTGACCGTACAGAATTGCCATAAAACACATATACACTGCCATGATTGAATCCCAGCTTGTCGTTAGATCGGAATGGCGCTCCAACCAGAAGATCGTCCAGGCCATCTCCATTCAAGTCTCCAGAGGCCAGCGAAGAACCGAAGTATTCCCCAAATTGCGTTCCGAAAAAATCTTCGATAACAGACGTTTCAATTCCGTTGGAGTGGCATATGGTGGATCTTTTGGACGATTGAAACTTGAAAATGGTCACCTATTTACAGCAGAAAAATGGGAAATAAGTCCTTTATGTGGAGATGATTTAGCTAAATTCAGAACATATTGAAATTTTATCGTTATGAATGAGGCATTAAGCAAGCATGTTTTTTGATAAAGCGTCAATTTATTTAGGAAAATGACCAACGTATGTCTAGTGCAGTTTTTAAAACCGCTCTTAGTAAATGCCTCATAATTCGAGAACAGTTTGAGGCATAGAGCTCTCACAATCATTCTCGGATAAAGCAATCAAGTCATGTTTCTATAGAAAAGTTTTTTGTTAGTTGTTGGAAAAAAGGAATAAATAAGCCGTATTATCATTTTCGCTCTTAGCGTTTGCATCATAGTTTGAAAACGTTTGAGCGTTCATACTGCGAGATAGAGTTTTAAATTGAGTGTTTATAAAAACATCAATTCATATATATTTTTTTAATTGCTTGATGCATGACTTGAAAACGGTTTGAGAAACAGAGCTCTCGTTGCTACTGCCGAATACAACATTGAAATACGCATGTTTGCATATAAAATTTATATTTTATATAAATTCAAGAAAGTTTTTTTGGTTTTATGGAAAATGGCAAAATGCATAATTTATAACGGATTTTCAAAACCGCTCGTAGTCATCGGAGGGTAGAGCTTTAAAATGGGCACATATCTATATAAAACATCAGTTGACAATTTTTTTTTTAATTTTATTGGAAATTATAAATTGCGTTTTTACATCGGGATTTGCAAAATCGCTCTTAGTTTTTTCTTCATAGCTAGAACAATATGTGAGAGTTTCTTGCTTACCATGCCCGTAAGTGTTTTGCCACTTCGATCAACGCTTCTTGGTACGCCTGTTACATAATTTTCAACGTTCTTTTTATAAAAGCGTCCAGATGTGACTGCATATCCTGAAAATCAGAACTTGTACAACTTTTTCCTGTGTGATTTAATAAATTAAACAATCAATAACTGAGGAGAAGAAGGAGTAACCAATTTATAACTTAATCAAGAACAAGCAATTTGAATTAATAACATTTTGCTTGTGGACTCTTACCCGAATAGTCGTTATATTTGTCTTGAGGTGCTGCGACTTCATACTGCCAGTGGTTCGGACTTCGGTCGATATTTTTTATTTTAAAGACAGTGCCCACATAGTTGAAAACCCCGGGAGCGCCCACTAAAAGCTCATTGTTGTCCTAAAATTTTTATAGAAATAGAGTAGATTCATTTGTTCTGGGTTTGCTATAATACGGCTGATATGTACCTCTAAAAAGTGTAAAGAGAATCCGCTTTGAGCTCGGTTATAAAACGGGATACTGTAGCAGGCCGCTGGCTCTACAGTAAAAAAATAATACGTTTTGATAATGAATTCGTTCTTTTTAGAGATATAGAAAAAGCACTAAAGTTCCGAGGCGAGACAAGAAACACCACAAAACGGTTTAGATATAAGGAATCCGCTTGTACCATATTAATACCTTACACTTGTCGAAAAAAAAAATGAATTTCAGGATAAAAATACACCATGATCAAGAGCGAAAAAATTACATTAATATGAAAAAAATCAATTTTAACCGCCAAAAATTTAAAAGTAAATTAATAAAACTGGAGTTCTAAATCTTTAAATCTTTTTCGAGCTTTTATTTATTTCCTAGGCGCAAAGGTTTTGTAAAAATTATTAGAGTATGAGAAGAAAAAGTAGCTGTTAGTTACTTTAAGCGGAACTAAACGAAAAGAAAAAATGAAGAATGCAGAAGCGATAACCATTAGACGAAGGTACCGAAATTCTTTAAAAAAAGTATGTATTTGCAATTTTTGTTGAATGAAAAGTTTCGCTGCCATAATCCCAAACACGAATTTGAAATTTATTGTTCTCACCAAGCAATGGTTCTAAAAGTTGTTTGGTACGATTTTCCTTTACATTCTGCACAAAAAGAGCTCCTCGAATGGTGGGTTCGTCTTGCGATAACTGCTGCCACCTGCTCGCTGAAATCTACACATTTGTTCTTTTGCTTACCTTTCTTTTCTTCTGAAAGAAATCTGAATGCTTACGCTTAAAACGCGGTACTTGTAGTTTACATCCATAGAGCCTCCTAGCCAAGAGTTAGTAAAATCGGTTGCTAAAATTTCGGAAAAGCCAAATCTTAAATTAAACGTAAGGCTTTTGGGAATGAGAAATGTTTACTTACTTGAGTTAGTAAAATTTTTATCTAAAATACACGGCTTTAGGAACGGACAATGATATATCAATCCGGTAGGGTTCGAGTGTCGGTTTTTCTGGAAAGACGCATTTGGGGCTCCTATTTTTATCCTGAAATGTTTTGTATATTAACGATCATCTTTAATTTGAATTTTGACTAATAATCAGTGAAAAAAAGACAATAATATAACTTTAAAAATCTTTACTCATAGAGAGAAACTGAGTTTATGTATTTTGATTGGTTGCGGGAGTTTGCTCAATATTACCCAAATTTACTCTCAATCTCAACGTTTAATTATATGAGGTTTTTTCAGTTAAAGAGTATAAACTGGACAAACGAATGATCGATTCGCTTTTAGAAAAAGGATCGAATGTCAATAAACTTTGCTGAGTTCAAAAAAGGAGCATCCTCAAATGTTTGCATTGTGACGACTAATATCAACGCAAACATTTATTTTACCTCTTTGTATCTCATGCAATAAAGCGGTTTTTTCTTCTCGTCTGAAAATCACGTTTTCTATCGAATATTAAAGTCCTACACATTTATTAAAGTCCTACACAATACACATTTTTTTAATTTTTAAGCAAAACTCAGTTTGTGTTCATAAGTAGATTAACCAAGAGTGCATTTAAATGAAACTGGAACCCAAATTGGGAATTGTGGAACACTAATGAAACGATTTAAAGCTATTTATTTGCAAGTTGTTTTGGTAAATAGATGTATTCCTTGCTGTAATTCATGATACCGACCTGCAATGCATTGAAGTTCTAGTTGAAGGAACAAAATGTGTTAACAATTAATGCAGAAACAGCTAAGCTAAACACCGGTTCTCTAACCGCAGAGAATTAATTAATAAAGCAATTAGCCAACTTCCCGTATTAAAACCAGTACTAATTCTCCTCGATAGCATCACTTACCACCTTTCTTTGCTTTTCTTATCGTTGAATAACACTAACGAGTATCCAAAATAATCACTCTTTACATCGCCGTTTGGATTTTCTATAATCACTGCATGGTCCAGGTCTACGTTAAAACCAAAGACTTTTACCAATAATTGCGCAAATGCAACTGCAACCAATAACGGCGACATTGGCCCGAAGAATGTGCAACTTCCTTTGCTATAATGTTCAACACCTAGCCGGCCCCACGTACTATCTGAAACCGCAATCCAAGAGGCTTAAACTTATTCACCAATTAACACATCCTGATATTTCCGTCATCATTCATCGCAAAACCACTTTTTTGTCAAGTTCCCCAAAAAAAAAGCACCGATTATAAATGCGTCTTGACGAGCGACAACAATGACCACAAAAGAGTGATAAAGAAATGGAATTTTTAGAAAACATTGTAATGCCGTGCGTACATGCAATCGGCTTATTTATTATTAGCATCAAACGATTTATTATAATGTGATGTCTTCGATAGATATGGTTGAATGTGATTATAGAAACGGCGTCAATGGTACGTGAGTCGACTGGATTTAATGTCTTCCGTTTTACTTACACTTTAAAGTGGCCTGTTTAAGCACGTTTTTCACTAGTTACCACACTGTTTAGTTTATACAACACTTGAAATTTGCAATAACCATGGATTTCTGAATCATTCGCTTTGTAGTTTTTCTTTTTAAAACTTTACTCGTTTGAATTACTCATTCTTTCTTAGCAAATTTCTTGGAATTAGTCCAAGTACTATTATTGCACCGATAATTGTCCGAACATGTTCAACAAATAAGCTCAGTAATAAGTAATGTGAAAAACTCAAGTGTCTTTCTTCGAGGTCTCACGCAAAGCATATTGGGATATTTGAAAACAAAAGCGACAATTTGAGTTAGAAAAACAGTTTAGTTTTTTTATTGGCGTTTTCCATCAGAACTAAATATCTTACTAATAAAATATTTAACAGTGATGTAAGAACTTAAGTAATCGCGTAAATGAACTACAAAATGCGTCTACCTAAGTTACTTAGATATTAATTATCAAGCTAATTAAAATGTTGCAAAATACAAAATGCAAAAATACTTTAAATTTATTCCTGCATGCCTGCAGCCTCTTGATTGGCCATTTGGCTTGGAGTGGCGCCCTCCTTGTCCTTCTTCTTGGAGCCCGAAACGATATCATCGATACGCAACAACAAAATCGCGGTCTCGATGGCTGTCTTGTAGGTCTGGAGTTTCACTGCCAACGGCTCCCAAAGTCCCTTTTCCTTCTGTTCCACCAGCTCGCCAGATTCGCCATCTATTCCCCATGTGCAAGGAGTTTCCGCATCGGTATGATTAGCGTGTTTTGCCCTCAAAGCAGTCAACGTTTTGATTGTGTTTGCACCACAGTTCTGAGCCAATGTTCGCGGAATAATTTCTGAAATAAGAGTAAAGAAAAAAATTATCTACATATTTCTAAATTGCATTTGAGTACTAAAACCAGTTAAACGATTGGAAATGGAAATCTTTTTCATTTAAGCAAGTTCAGGGTCTTTAGGTTGGTTCATTTATGGTCTCGGATTTACTAGATAAAAACTACAAACATACCCAAAGCATGAGCCAAAGCTCTGTAAGGTCCATGAGTGGCATTCTGCAATAATCTTTGAGCGATAGCCATTTCGATTGCTCCTCCTCCTGGCACCAGGCGAGGAGACAGCACAATATTTCTGGCCACTTGCAGAGCGTCTTGCAAGTTTCTTTCCGTTTCGTTCAGAATATCTTTACTGGCGCCGCGCAGAAGGATTGTGCAGGCCTGTAAGAAAACAATTAATTACTTTACATACTACATACGTACAGAATAATAACATCAGCTAATAAATAGAGCAGTGTCCTACCTTGGGATTTTTGCATTTAGTAACGTAGCAAAAGTATTCGTCGCCCATTTTCTTAATTTCAAAGAGACCTGCTCCGGTACCAATGTCGGATTCTTGAAGTTCCTCCGTTCTATTAACAATAGTGGCACCACAAGCGCGAGCAATTCTGTTGTTATCAGACTTGCGGACGCGACGAACAGCCGTTATTCCTGCATTATTAAAATTCGTTTTAAACAGAAAATCATGACACTTGCTGAGCGAAGTCTTACCAGCTTTCAACAAGAAATGTTGAGCAAGATCGGAAACTCCTTTTTCGGTGAAAATAATGTCTGGTTTAAGAGCAATTATATCATCGCATTGCCTCCTCACATGTTCCTCTTCTAACTCAAGCATTTTGGTAAAATCCTTCAAAAAAATAACCAACAATAACACAAAAACGAAAATTAAAAATGACTCATACTTACACCTTCTGAAGTAATTTCCACATTGGTTTGAGATTCCCCTTTTTTATATTCCAGAGAACAATCCAGAAGAATTATTTTAGGATTCTGAAACAAAGCATATAAAGCAAAGTCATATAAAAAACATGTGCGTCAACCAGCTTCCTACCTCAATATATCTTCTCATTTTCGGATGAGTTACATCTTTATTCAACATAACGCCACTCAAAATTTGAGAATCTTCAATAGAGCCTCCAGGGACCTTCTCTACTTTGGCGTATCTTTTGATATCCACCTCAGTTCTGCCATTTTCTTCAAGCATTACAGTTTGCACAGCGTCCAGCGCAATGTTTACAGCCAAATCCGACCATTTACTAATAAACTTAGTACCAATACAACCTTTCACCTGAAACAACAGAAAAGTTTTTATATAGTTTTTTTAAAGACAAAAATTTTTGAGCCGAAATACCCAAAACAAAGTTTGTAAAAAAATGAATCCGCCTCAACAATATAGAACTTATCAACAGAAAAGTTGTACTTTTGCTCAGGAATATTCAGCCATCAACCACTTACGACATTGGCGAGTGCAGCTTTGTCATTCTTGTCTATGGGCACACTCAGAGGACCTTCCAGCAATGTTATGATATCTTCAAGAGCTTGCCGATACTGCCGGATGATGACTGTGGGGTGCATTTGTTGCTCCAGAAATTGTTCAGCGGCAGCCAACATTTCCCCAGCCAATACTATAACTGAAGTTGTTCCATCACCAACCTGTAAAATAACAGATTTGAATATACCTGATTAACTAAAATTGATTAAAATAGTTTTCCTTAGACAAAGGAGATATAGTTCAACACTGTAGTTAACAATGTCAGAACTTTATTCACAAGAAAAATGTGCACACGTGCCGAAAAGACAAATAGGTAAGAAAATTTGGAACTTTGAATCCGGTTAAAAACTATTTGATGATGATTGATTTGATTTATTAATTGGATTTGCTTCTGCCAAATGTGTCGAATTCAAGTGAATTTACACTTATAGGAAAGCGTGACAAAATATCTGTACTGAAAGTAATGTTCTTCAATTCATGTTACCTCCTCATCTTGAGTCCTGGCAATTTCTATCATGCTTTTGGCAGCTGGATGTTGCACGGTGATCTCCCTCAAAATGGCATTTCCATCGTTGGTCATTACAATGCCCCCCATGGGATCCATCAGCATTTTCAACATAGCCTGTGGCCCCAGACATGTCCGGATGACATCAGCAATTTGCTGGAAATGAACCAGAGTTTTAACGGTTTTGGGAGTTAAATTGAAACCCAGTGCTTTAAATATTTAGATAATTATAGCCCCCATAAATGTGAGGTTAAGCGGAAGACTGAAACGAAATAATCAGTGAAAATTTACATGAAGAAGTATGTATGCGGCTAGAGTGATTGGAAGACAATGGTTATTGAAACGTTTCCTTGATTTTTGTGAAGTTCTGATGTTGAACACGTGAAAACCTTACCTTTCCGGCATTTATGTTCTCCACCTGAACTTTTCGGCCAGATTCTCGCTTGGTATTCTGACCTGCAATTAACAAAAATTACGCTTTAGTAAAGGCAAAAGGCTAAATATATGTTTCACTCACTCAGAACCAAAATCGGAGCACGCCCACCGCCAAACATTTTGAAAATTGTTCGAAATCAAGTTAAAAATCACAAGCTTTTGCAAATTGCTAGTTGACTATTTATGACGTCTGTCACTTAACATGAATGCCAACTTTAAGTGCCCATTGCTAATTCCGGTTCCAACCACTGAAACCAAAATTATTCTATGCATCCGCTATTGTGATTGGCCATAAATATGATCATGACAAAGACAGTCCCTGTTGTGGCCAATGAAATTTAAATAGACGGACATTCACTTTGCAAAAGAAATGTCACATTTGCAGTTTTTAACAGTCACCCCTGCCATTGAAAGATGAGTGACGTGTTTTGTATATGTTAAAATACCACTATTTATTTATTTCGAAGTAGAATATTTCACGCTGCCCGACAATGAATTACAATGCAAATACGGGCCCTCGGCCTGGTAAGCATCCGATTTAGATAAAACAGGCATTATTTTGTAACGTTAACCTTAAACACTATAGTAAATTGAATTTGCATTTTCAGCAACATTTGGTAAAAAGGTGAAGAGGGTGAGTGATGTAAATGCCATGGGATATCGTCAGTACGACCCCCAACAGCCCCAGCAGAATCTGTATCCAAATCTAGGACCAGCTGCAGATGTTTCAATGCCAAGAAATTATCAACAAGGTGAAAACAGCTTCTTCATCTTAAGCTACTTCATGCTGTGTTCATTGGCCACTAGAAATGTTGATTGTCGTTACTTTAGCGTATTCGTTTTAATCCTTGCTCTGATATAACGTAATCATTCTGGTGTTCGTTACTTTGATTGCCGTTACTGGACTCCTGGATACAGTACAATTTTCCAATTGAATTTACGATTTGCTATAATGCATAATTCTCTCCGTATCATGCTTATAGAAAATAAGAATTATTAGGCTTAATTTTGATTCATTAGGATATGGAAACCAAATGCCCCTGGATGGTCAGTCATTCACATCTGGTCCCCATGGAATTCCCACTGTAGCAACAAACTTCAATTCCCCAGGCCCTCAAGAGTATGGAGTTAATAACACTTTTCCATTGACTCCAAACTTGGGAGTTCTGGGCCAGCCAGTGGTTCAAGACATGGCCATGCAGTATGGACAACAGGTTCGTTTAAAAACAAGAAGAAAACGCAACGAAATGTTTACTAAACTAATCCGCTGTTAACTAAAAATATTGTAACAAAAGGAGAATACTTTTTCTGAATTTGAAGTAAAGATTAATCCTTTACTTCTAGTGTGTACAGTTTATTAAAAGGTTTTCATTGGTAGATTCGACTCTTCACACGTTAAATTAGAATTCGGCTATTGTTGCGTCCACATGTTAATTTGACTTTGCTTATTAATGAACAACTGAAAAAAATTTCTTGAACTGAACACACAGCACTTGGTTTACAAATTTTCTACTGCTTTCTTTATAGTTGGCTGGAGCTGGAAAAACAATGATCAAGCAGGAGATGGAAAAATATGTTCCAGTCAGTCAACTTCGATATTACTTTGCCGTAGACACCAAGTATGTGGTATCAAAATTAACTCTTCTGTTCTTCCCTTTCACACATTCGGTAAGCGTTGCTTTAAACTATATGTTTCTTTGAATTAAACTAAATGAGGAAAAATTTTCAGGATTGGTCAGTGAAATATGAGCAAAATGGCCCAGTTCAACCAAGATACGAAATCAACGCACCCGATCTTTACATACCCACCATGGCGTATATTACCTACATTTTAGTCGCTGGCTTAGTGTTAGGAATGCAAGACAAATTTAGCCCCGAACAAATTGGAATTACAGCGTCCTCAGCCTTGGCGTGGTGCATCATAGAGTTGGTTATTTATAGTGCAATCTTATATATACTCCAAGTGGAAACTAGCATTAAAACGCTGGATTTGCTAGCCTATTCCGGATACAAGTTTGTTGGCACCATCGTTAGTATTCTGATTAGCCTAATGTTCGGAAGTACTGGTTTTTTCATTAGCATCATTTATACTAACTTGGCTTTAGCATTCTTTCTGGTGAGGAGTCTTAAAGTACAAGTTCTAGCTGAACAAGGCACGAAGGACCAGTCTTATTACGGGGCACCGAATACAGCAGGGCATAAGAGGAGGTTGTATTTCTTATTGTTTGTCGCAGGCTCTCAGATCGTTTTATCTTGGTGGTTATCATTTCATCTTGTTCCCGCTAGTAGTGTGGTACCAGTTGCACCTGCAACCCCTGTATAAGCTTTTTCTACATCTACAGAAATTAGACTAATTAATCAATTGTAATTTTGATACATTTGCCAAGTCAACTAGAATATTTTCAATGGAATTATGTTGAAACCCTCTCATTATGTAAAAGTAGTAGGTTCAACATTTTTTTGTTGTTACGATTAATCCTGGTTTTTTCTAGTTATTAAATTAATATTTATTCTTGGTGATTTACTTAATTTGGTAACGAAGCTGATTGATATCTGAATGATTATATATATTTATATTTATAAGAGGTGTTTTTGTGTTATTCCATCCTCACTTTAAGCAGGCGACGCAATCTATTTCATATACAGAAATAGATGATATACAGGAATAATGAAACAATGAAAATATTCCTAATAATAAAAATGTATAATTGAACTTGCAACTTTTTTTGTATAATTTAATTTATAGTTATATTTTTCCTAAAATTTTGTACGAAAAACGACCTGTTTTCACAATAAATGTAATTTATTTTTATTCTTGATAATTTGTTTCCTAGTCAACAAAAAAGTCAGGGTAAAAATAGGTCATTGACCGGCTGGTAGTTAAATGCAATAAAATTAAAAACTCACTTGCTGAATCAATCCAGTTACTTTTCGCAAATTAGGTGACGATTGCCAGACGGTTTAATTCCCAGCGGCTTAAGTCCCATGCGTCCGTTTGTACGATGATACGAAAAGGATTCTATTGGTTGGAGATTTGTCAATTCGTACGAACTGACAGATCTCCAACCAATAGAAACACTTTACACTTTATAACACATAAACAGTGTAACAGTAAGTGTTTAGAAATTACTTCCCTGGTTTCATGTTCGTCCCTCTCATATCTTCAATTGGTAATAGCTGAAAATTGAGATAAAACTGCCTTGAAATCATCACATATTAGCGAGATCATTAAGATTATGAAAACATAATTTTCTTCACTTTCTAGGCTTATTTAAAAGGGCTCATGCTATGGAGCACAAGCTAAGGTTTTAAAATGTGTTCGTGCAAATTCGTCAATTGTGTATGGGAAATCGAAATAAATTATTTTTTATTAATGGACCTGGACCAACACGAGCTAATTCGATACATGAGAATGGTTTTACCATTAAAAGGACTAAAAAAATTGAGCCTAATGTAATCGCTTCGCGAAAGTATGCCCAAACAATAGGTTCAAGCATTAAAATCTAAAGCGCAATTACTAATTTTGTTATATCATTAACATCAAACACATTGGGGGCTATTTAATACTTCCATATTTTTATTATTTTGACTGGTTCCTTGAACAGGGTGATCAGACTGAGAAATGGCAATGTCGCCAAAAATCGCCGGTTTTGGCACCAAGTAAATTCAAACGGGGTAAACCAATAAAAACGATGCGGGACCGTTTTAAATTAAGCAAGAACTTTAGTTTTTCTAACAAGTTGAATTGAAATTCTATATGTTTACTTGTATGTCTTAAATATATTAATGAGAAATTGGCGTTAAACGACAAAAAAATTATCGCCAACATAAGCAAAAAATCACCAACTTGGCGATAAATTACCACACCTGGTCACCCTGTCCTTGAATGGTTTTTATTTTCATCATCCAAGAAATTCTTGTCAAGGATCATTATTACAGCAACAGCTGGTTGATTCAAGGCTGGTGAATTTTATCATTCTAGTTCTGAAGTTCACGCAGATGGCGGTGCATGTTACATCTTTCCATGTAGAACTGAGACCTGTGTTTAAAGAAGAGCGTTGAATGCCGATTAAGCATACTTACCTGGCGTAGGGGTTTACCGTGATCAATAAGGCGGTTCCCCCGGGGTGAGGCCCTTCCATTGCACTACGGTTGGGCTGACCCCT